TAATCGAACCCCAATAACAATATCGAACACCAATGGAAAATAAAAAAAAATAATCTTATATCATTCTCTTTTACTTTTGATTTCGTAGGGTAGGTGCATGGTGGAAGGACTTGTGAACATGATCTTAACACTAGCAAACTGTAGTCTTTTTTTCCTTAGTGCATGTATTGAGGAAGGCAGGGTAAGTCCCAAGGTAGATATGATTCTCTATGTTTAGCAAGGGAAAGGTTTTGCTTCTTCCAGTAGATCACCTCCAAAAATTCAAAGCACTTTTCCCCCATGGATTCTGAGGGGTAATTTGTGTCTTTTCTGTTCCCCACCTTAACTCTTTCATGTCCACTCATGAGTGATGGTGAATGCTTCTGTCTCACGTTAAAGAATAATAAATCAGTAAAAACGGATAAAAAGAAAACAACAACAAAATAGTCTTTGGATAATAATTAGTTAATAGAAAATTGTTAAACCCTCCTTATTATAGTGTTTAACCATTAATCCACCACTTATGATTTTAAGATTCGTTTGCTGTTTGGTACTCCATTTAGACGTCGTAATAAGCTAGAAACCATTAAGTAGTTGGGTGTTTGATATTTCATTGTAATAAGAATCCTCCGTAATAATTAACAATACGTCACCGCCCCATAATGTCCAATATCAAGAACAGAACAAGATATTGTTAAATGCATGCAAAAAAATCAAAAATAGTACAATTGGTAACTGAAAAATTATCACAATTTTAAAAGTAATCGAAATTTACTTACTTTTTCACGTGAAAATAAAATCTGAACAAAACACCCTGAAAAATTCGGGAAAATTCCAGCATTATTTTTTACATATGAGTTTCCGGCATAATGTGCTGGAATTTCATAATGTGCTGGAGTTCTAACATAGTAATATGCTGGAAGTTTTTACGCATGAGCTCCATAATCCAACATATTATGTTAGAACTTTTCATGTGCTGGAGTTCTAACATAATATGCTGAAAGTTAATAAGAATAAGCTTCATAATCCAGCATATTATGTTGGAATATTCTGTGTTTCAGCTTAATAGTGGCTATTTTTTAATAACTAAGCAAACACTGCATAATTTTTAATTATCAGTCCGAAAACTGACTAGCCCAGCTTTTTTATTAAAAACAAATCCCTTACTTCGCAGCTAAAGTCGGACTAAAAATAGCTAATACAATTACAGACCAATTCCCTTCAGTATTTATAGTACTAATAAAGTTCTATATATGACATATTTTAATACGGCCAACCAAACTATTATTCTACCAATTAATCCCATTTCGTACCATTTATTAATTGTTTGGTTTCTGAATTACAATTTACCACCCTTTTATTTTCGCACCGTTCGAAACGACCTCTTAAATGTTGTAGTTCTCTTATAATTAACAATGTTATACTTTCTTTCCCCTTCGAGTGAGTGACAGTAGTAAAGTTAGTCATAAGAGAAACGTGTATTGGTCAAAATCTGACCACAACGGTCAGACCGACCAACGCCCCGCTCGGCAAGGTAGCAAGGATTGACATGGGATGTTTCATATCTTGCCCTCATGACTTTCGTCGAAGCGGTAAAGAGTGACCTCCAGCGAGTAACCGAGGAGTGTGAGGCATAGAGAAGCATCGGATAGAGCGTGTAGCCGGAGGTCCAGGGCTGTATATATAGGAGGGAAAAAACCTCTCAGAGGGGGCACTTTGGTGGGGGGAGGGGGGGGGAGAGAAAACATCTCTCCTATTCTCCATCTATCTCCTCTCTGTAACTTCGATAAATAGAAGGAAAAAGGAGGCAATCCGGGGCGATTGATGTAATATGTAACATATTCTACTCCACCGATTAATGAGAACAATACTGGAAAGCTTCAATAAGATCGTTTATCTTTACTTCTTTTTATGGGTTATTCTTCTTTTTGTTCATTGATCTGGAATTCATTACGAATGACTAAGATTTACCCCATCATTTTCTTTGATTGATGTGTTCAAAAAGGTTGTAATATCTTTTGAGTCAAACAAAACGTAGTAATTAATAATTTCTAAGCACAATAAAAATATGTTAGCCTGTGGAGAAATATTTGTAAATTTGTTGAACATGTTTTCAATCGGCATTTAACTGGTTTTGTTAAATTTGATATGTTTATATATAGAAAAGTATAGTTCGAAGTCATGGTGTGAGTTACACATAGTTTGTCTCCTTAGATATCTAAACAATAATTCAGTTAATTAATCATTTCATACCATAATTTTCTTCATAAGGCCTCGTAAATCTCTGTCACAATATGAATCTATGGTGATCTTAGAATTTGTCAAAGTAAAACTGGCTGCAAGATTAAAAATTAGAAATTTTGAGCTTTTTCCTTGGGGCTTGGCGGTGGGGGAGGTTTAACTTTCAAATATACTAAAAAATACTTAAGGTATAGCTAGACCTAGAAATTGTGGACTAAGAAATGAAGAAAATATTTAGTAATTTGAGAAAGGCGAATGCAAAATGTACAACCAATGGGTTTAAAATGAATTTGATCTTATCATATATAGCATATATTTTTAAAAAAATTCATATGTATACACATTCAATTTCATAATTAAGACATGAGTACGGAAAACTAAGTTGGCAAGTAATCTAGCTATGATATGTAGAAGAAAATTCAGAAAATAAGGGAAAGCAAGCAAACTCTTAAATGCTGCTTACATTAGATTAAAGGACGTGGTTATTTGTCACGAAACATCTTTTTCCTAGGTTAAATGTGTACAAAAGTACAACAGACCAGACCAGACCAGACCAGACCAGCAAAGCTTCTGTTTCTTCCTTTAATAATTTTGACTCCAGTTAAGTCGCTTTCTAATAAATTTACTTATGTGATTTTCCTCTTTTTACAGTCCCCTGAAGACCGAGATCCTGCACTGGAATTACCTTTTAGAGTTATTATCTGATATTGGAACGGACTAGTTTGTGATCCACTTATCAAATTGCACACATGCGTGGCTTAGTGTAGTTCTCGATAAATTTGACAATTGTGAAATTATTGTATGGTTAATAAAGACTAATTTTAAGGGGTAAATTGACACTGTAATCGTCTCAGAGTTTTGTATCCTAACATCACATAGAGTAAGATTACTTAAAGTAGTTGAAAAGCTGGACTTTTTAACTTATCGATCTCGAAACATCCAAGTTTAACTTTAATCCAGGAGTGCAATAGTAGCTCAGACGCACAGATATACTTTTAAAATTTGCTTTCTCAACTCAGAACTCATTAACATTTTAGTTATGGATCCGCCACAGAACAGTAACTTAAACTGTACTAGCTATAAAAAAACTTTAAATAAAATAAGTTAATTTAGTTGCACAAGTCAGAAAAGACAATAAAACTAATGCATTAGGAGCAAATTATCCATCTTAGGCTACAAAAACAATTGTCACATTAAACATGAAAGAATGGATGTGTAATTACAAAAATGGATGTATATTATAGCCTAATTTTCCTCAGTATCGGTTCCATGTGCTATGTGACAATTTAGCCTATAAGCATAGCAACATCAATCGTGTCAAAGGCGGATCCGAAATATATAAATACTGATTACATCTCTATATGAATAGATCATTTTAAAAGAATAACCATGTATAGATATATTGTTTGAGCTGCATACATCCACGGTTTATATGTTCTGTCTCTAACTAATGGGAACCATTGTCCTACAAATGTTATTGGTAGATTAATGGAATCCGCAGGATGTCTCATCTAATACATATTACAGAGCGTTACTAATTCTTGCTGTATAGGAATTTCATAGTCAATTTAAATGGCATACGATTTACATCAATAATTTCATTTGAGTTTTACACAACTAAAATTTGTTGGCATTCTTTACTTTCGCGCAGATGACATCATAAGATGCATAATAGTTGATACTTTCTTTTACCTTTCTTGCTTGTACTGTTTGCTTGATAGTGAAATTCCTGTCTGTCCAATTCAAAACAAGCAACTGGTGAGAAGAAGTGTGGATTTTAACTTTACCTTGACAAACTTGAAGAGTGGGTTCCATTTTCCATGCTCCGAATGAAACTGAAGGAATTTTAGTAGACTCTGAGGAGGCTTCCTCAACCAGCTAGCTAATTGAAAGATTACTGGCACTGCAACCCATGTCCGAGAGATTGAAGCATATTATTGTGCTTCTAAGACCGGATTATTTACAACCAAAGTATCTCTGGTGAGTATATCACTCAAAATATTTACAACCAAGGCATTTGTGAAGATTTCATTTCTCATGGCAACGGAAATTGCTGAAATCAGGCGCAGCATAGCATATGCAATTCGACCCATGCCTGAAAGTAAGGACGTTGCTACCAGAAACGCCAATGGTACAACCCAAGTACTGGATTCTCCATCTTAATTTACATTTCACAAAAATCGGTAGCTTAAATAACTTGTTACACGCTTACTTCTTCGAGGTTAGCTGGTGAGGCATGTGTTTCCTTTGGCAAATCATTAACTGAATACATGTTTTCTTCCAATTGAAAATTAACGTGCATAACAGGCACGTAAAAGCTTTAGCAAGACATCACTCGCATTGTTTAACATTATCAACATGTGTTCAGCTGTCCCCAGTGTCCTCCATTCAGTTTAAACATTTAAAACAAGGGTAAAGTAGCAGCAACCCAAAAAAGAGGATCATAACAGGAAAGCAACGTTTACTAAATTTACTTCTACAATTACATTCGTTTTCCCAAAATCACTTCAGAATCTTTAACTTTGCGAGGCTCTATCCGTTATACTAATTTTTACTAGGCAGCAATAAATCATAACACCATTGCATAGACTCAGCTACTAAGAGCTTTTAAAGCACCCACGAATAAGATGATGATCTTACCTACTACAACTATTTGGGACTTCCGGCCACCATTTACACCAAACTAGCTGATTGATAAGATTGTTTCATTAACTACATTTTTATTGCAGTGAAAATGCACATTTGCACGGATGAAAGTTGTAAAAAAACAAGAGTTTAGAAAGCAATGAAAAAGAGATGGTCCATTAACACCACAATATATAAGATATAAAAACTACAAGATGGCTAATCTCGTTTTCTCCATTTAACTGGGCAAAAGTGCAAATATTTGATAATGTCTCACGCAGACAACAATATCAGATAAGAAGAAACTACAAACTAAAGATTCAATTAAGATTCCAGCTCCTCAATCTTCCTCCTCAGCCTCATTCTCAGCAATGTTGAAGTACCTCAGCTCATAGACATTGCGATCCTTGTTTGCAGAAATAACTCTGAGCCAATCACGGACATTGTTCTTCTTGAGATACTTCTTGGTCAGGTACTTCAGATACCTGGTAAAACAAGGAAACATTACTGCATAGAACACAATGGTTGAAAATATATTTAACAGAAATGCATCAAGCCAGCAAAATATGGCAAATCACGACAGTTCAGATACCCAAATTACAGTGAAATAAGTTCATAGTAAGCTTTCAGGATAGAGCAAGAAAGTCGTGTGGTTGTGCGGGTCCCTTGTACTGCAAATAATATTGGGTAGGAATTGGATTAACCAACCACATTTAAGAATGAAATTAAAGAGAACTTTGTTTCAGTCCAGTAAAATGAAATTCATAATATGAGGTTAATATCCAAAGAATATTTACCATAAAAGCAATGCAAAATAATAGGGGACAGTAAATGGAATTTCCAAGTGAGATTCTGTATAAATGAATCCATCAAATATGTTCCTTTGCATCTCACGCTTCCAAAAAATGACATCACCTCCAACCTTACTGTGATTAAGACTAGTGATACACAGACTAAAGTTCATGATCCACTCTTATGAAAATGAACTCCATTTATCTATTCTTCCCTGAACTCCATTGCACATAAACGGAAAGAATCAGACCTTAATGGTGCATTTAGCAGTCAGGCCACAAGATTAGCCTATTAATTGATTCCATCTATCACTTGAGTCATTTCTCAAGTTCAAAGATCAAAATTTTAGAATTTAAGCATCAAGTGTCATCCAACACTCTGTTTTATAGTGATTTGATCTAATTCCACTACACCATGTCACCCTTCTAAGCTCCTTTCTCCTATGCATTTATTCTGTTCAGGATGGTACATCCAACACGCTTCTATTATCTTACTACCCCTCCTTTGCCCAATGCCTTTATTATGTTTTGTTCATCATGACGATGTAACACTATATTTGCGTATAATTTCTATATATATCCCTAAATATACGTATAGAAGTATAAATCAAAACATTAGTTACCATCATCACATCTGACCCTAATATTTACTTCATCAGGTACCACACAGAGAAAGTTATCACATTAAATTGGACACAAAAACTCCTATATTGACATTATATGTTTATCTCACTTCAGCATCAAACCGCAACATCAAGATATAGCAACATTGACAGCATGTTCACGCTGCACCATTGACACAGTACCGGTTCTACAGCTCTATATATATACAAATATAAGAGGGAAGCATGGGTCAGCAGTAAAGGTAAAAATTTACCGCTTGGAGAAAGTGCTCTCGGAGGTGACAGTGATTTTTGTTTTGTCACGGGTGACAGTGACGGCGTCACCAAGAGCTCCAGCCTTTCCTCCGACCTTGATGCGCTCTTGTAGAAACTTCTCCAGTGAAGCGATATCCATGATCTTATCCTCAACAGGCTTTGAGCAATCAATCACGAAGGTTGCTCCCTTCTTCTTCCCACCCTTGGTGGCTCCGCTGCTTCCTTTACTCATCTTCTCCTACGATTAAAGAAAAAACACAAACCCTACCTGCATTTCCACCAAATCACATACGTATCAGACATCGAAGAACTGGATTGTGAAAAGAATTGGAGAGAGAGAATTAGAGAACTGACCTGAGAAGCTGCGGCGATTTGGGAGGAACTATGAGAAGAAGAAAGGATTAGGGTTCCGAGTGTGGGTTTATATATTGTTTTGTGAGATTTATGTCCCTGTGGACCGTCGTTCCGGTCCATCAGCATTTGGGCCCATTATTATGAGTCCACTCTCTCGTCTAGGCCCATTATTAGAAAGGATTGAGGATGGTTGTGAATTCTCATCATTATTTTACTTGGGAGGAAATGAATAAAGGGTCTATGTAATTTTTATTTTGATAAAAAATTAATAAATTGTTTAACCTCTAATCCTTCTATTTTTATTTTCACTTCTAATCCCTCTTGGTTTTACTCCAAAGAAAATTAGTCTAAAGGAAAAATAAGCCTATAAGAGCTTTAATATTTTTGTTTTTTTGCAACATATAATATTTTACTCTTTTGTAACTCTGCGTCAAGTGATTTTGTTCTTGATCTTCTTATTTCTGCAATTTTCCCGTCTTTGAGGCTCAATCCAAATTTTGGTTCTGTTTATGCAAGAGGAGTATGGATCAAGGCGTCCTCTTGGTTGTATCAAACAACACATTTTTTCTTTCATAGGATACTTCCTTCAAATGATGTAATTGTCCTTAATATCCAAAAAAAAAAAACTAAATTCTTTTTACTCCTACTTCTCTTTTGGGATGACTTCTTTTTCATTTATAAATAGATAAATAGATCATTATTCAAACATATCAATCTTGTTGAGAGGCAAAGGATCCAAAGCACTTTTTGGATGACCGATGATAGGTGAATTTAACTATAATCACGCCTTAAATAACCACCTTCTTGTATAGTTTTGATGATAAAAGTGATAACAAAATGCTCTTATTAGTGTTTTTCATGACTTGCAGGTGATATATGACCAGGGAAGGCTAGGGAATACTTTTGGAGTCAAAAAAAATGAAGAAAAAGAGGCCAATTGTGAAATTCCCCAAGTAAACCACGCAAAACAGGCCTGAAGATTCAGAGAACTGGGTTGACCGCGGTTCCACCGCGACCGCGGTAGAACCGCGGTGGAAGAAAGCTGCGAATAACTTGAGATTCAGAGAAGGCATTTGGCCGCGGTTTGACCGCGACCGCGACAGAACCGCGGCGGAAGCAGAAAACTTCAGGGACTAAAGTGTAAAACACGGGATTTTTAGACCTAAACCCTATTTTAAATACAAGACTTCGCCCAAGAGAGGCATGTATTGAATTTTAGAGTATCTTGGCAAGTAAAACAATTGTGAGAGATCACCCAAAATATCTTTCTTCTTTTCTTTGATTTTTATTGCTAGTTATGATGAATTCTATCTTAGTTTGTTTTCCTATAGCCATGAGTAGCTAAATCCTTTGTCTAAGGCTTTGATGGAACCTATTGGGGGATGAACATCTTGTTTATGTGAATACAAATTGCTAGTTTCAATCTCTATTTGTTCAACTTTGTGCTTGTTGTAGTTAATTGACAGGATCCTCAATTAGCTAAGCCTATTTAGTGTGCATAACTTGGAAAAGAGTGCATATTTAGGTTATTATTGAACAACACCACTCCCAAATTATAAGAGGAATCTATAATTGCGGGTTTAAAGGCGGGATTAGGGATAACGAAGCCTTGGGTGTAATCTAAAGTGAATTGTGCTAAATAAAGTAAGCTAGTGTATCTCAGGAGAGTGCAATTAGTATATTACTGTGATTACTCGGGAGAGATTTACGGTAAGATGAGCGTTCATGATTGATAGAGATTTGTTGGTAAATTTGTATGAGCATAAACGGAAGGGATTCTTTCAATAGGGGAAATCATTGCCTTAGCTTCTTCTCATCATTGTTTACAATCTTAGCATCTTAGTTTACAGCTGTTTAATTTACTTGCAATCGTAGTTAGTAAAGTGACATCCAACTGTGATTCAAACATCTGGGAAACTGGTTCTGAAGAGTTTAGTGGGTCTAAAGATAGTGATTGATAGGTTAACTCTCTATGGATTCAACCCTGGGCGTAATACTCGGGTAATATTTGCAACGTCCGCATTGTCCTTTTTCTAAGGCATAGTTGGGCGTGATCAAATTTTGGCGCCGTTGCCGGGGAGTTAACGGAATTATCAATTACCATTGATAGAAATACAAAAATTCTTGGTGTGGTCAGTTTTCTCTCTACCCAATTTTCCATTGAAATTTTGACGGTTGTTGATCTAGTTGCACAGGTGTATGCCTAGAAATTCTACGAGGACTGGAGAACTACTTGAAGGACTCTCAGACCCCGAGAAAACATTCCGGACATTGAATCGTGCCAACAAAAGACTTCAACAATCCCAACAAACACACAAATTCGAAATTGACATGGGAGACGTAAACGATCCCAATGGAAACGTCAGGAATGAGCAAGTTGGCTTAAATGCCAGAGAAGTGGCACCCCCTGTGCCTGAGGGTGCACTATATGACTGGGCACAACCCACAGCTGACAATCTGGCCACTGCCATTGTTGTGCCCGCAATACAAGCTGAATCGTTCCAGATCACAAATAACATGCTACACTTGTTGCAGAACAAGGGACTCTTTTCTGGGACACAAACAGAAGATCCTCAGCAGCACTTGAAGAACTTCCTGTCTATCTGCAAAACTCAAAGGCAACCCAACGTGACTCCGGAAGCAATCAGGCTATTATTGTTTTCATTCTCGGTGATAGGAGCTGCTCAGGTTTGGCTAAACTCGCTCCCCATAAACTCTATAGAAACTTGGGATGAGTTAGTCAAGCAATTTCACAACAAGTTCCACCCGCCCAACAAAACTGCTCAACAAATTGATGAGATCGTAAGTTTCAAACAGAAACCAATGGAGACACTACACGAGACATGGGGCAGGTTTAAAGGAATGTTGGTTATGTGTCCCCACCACGGTGTTCCAGAACAGATGTTGGGACAACGGTTTTACATGGGACTGTCTGACAGCATGAAGAATATTGTAGATGCCTCTGCTGGTGGGGCATTCTTGAGCAAGACTTGGAGAGAAGGTCAGAATTTGCTTGACAAAATGGCGCAGAATTCGGGATGGACAACTAGGAATGCACCTATCACTCCAGTGGTGCACTCAGTGCCTCTTGATCCTTCTAATACAATGGCTGAAAATATGGCGACTCTCTTGACACAAATGAGCATCCTCACCAAAAAGGTGGAGGAATCAGGGCAGAAGCAGCAGGTACATATAGTAGACACTACCAATGGGGGCTTGTGCACATCTTGCATTAGCCAGCCAATTGGTAATCCTTGGAATGCAGAGCATGATCATCATCATCAGCACCCTGAAGATATGAACTATGTGGCTAACTATGGGGGTCAGAGACAAGGAAATCAGAACTGGGGTCAGCAGACTCAGCAGCAGTACAGGCCACCTCAGCCACAGTATAACGCCGGAAACATGGGAGGCATGAGACCCCCCAACAACATGGCACCGTATCCTAGACCACAGGGGTACAACAATCAGCAGCAAGGGTACCCCCCACCTCAGCAGCAGCATGGTGGAAGACAGGAAGACGGGTTTGCAAGACTGGAAGCAATGATGCAGCAGGTTATTGGGTCCAATGCTAAGATAAATGAAAGGGTGGATGCACATGATGCGGCTATCAAAAATATTGAGGTACAAGTGGGCCAGATTTCAATGTCACTGAACAATCGTCCTCAAGGGACATTACCTGCAGATACCCAAATCAATCCAAAAGATCAGGGCCCAAAGCAGCTGATGGCGGTGAGTCTCCGTAATGGCAGGGATCTAGATGTAGAGCAAGAGAGAGCTCGAGAAAACATACAGGCTGAGACACTCATTCCAGTGCCCACTGAGCTGGATGAGTCTACGGGATTGACAGAGGTGACAGTCCAGCCCGCACCTGAAGAAAAGAATATGCAGCAGGAGACTGAGAAAGTAGCTGAGCCAGTAGTTGAAATAGTAGTTGAGAAAGAGAAATCCCAAGTGATTGGGAAGAAAAGACCTCCTGCACCATTTCCACAGAGGTTGGCCAAGCATCAAAAGGAGGAGCAGTATAAAAAGTTCTTTGAGATGCTCAAACAAATCCAGGTAAACATTCCATTGATTGAAGCTTTAAANAAATGCTCTATTAGTGCTTTTCATGATTTGCAGGTGATATATGACCAGGGAAGGCTAGGGAGTACTTTTGGAGTCAAAAATGAAGAAAAAAAGGCCAATTGTGAAATTCCCCAAGTAAACCACAGAAAACAGGCCTGAAGATTCAGAGAACTGGGTTGACCGCGGTTCCACCGCGACCGCGGTAGAACCGCGGTGGAAGAGAGCTGCGGATAAATTCAGATTCAGAGAAGGCATTTGGCCGCGGTTTGACCGCGACCGCGGCAGAACCGCGGCGGAAGCAGAAAACTTGAGGGACTAAAGTGTAAAACACGGGATTTTTAGACCTAAACCCTATTTTAAATACAAGACTTCGCCCAAGAGAGGCATGTATTGAATTTTAGAGTATCTTGGCAAGAAAAACAATTGTGAGAGATCACCAAAAACATCTTTCTTCTTTTCTTTAATTTTTATTGCTAGTTATGATGAATTCTATCTTAGTTTGTTTTCCCATAGCCATGAGTAGCTAAATCCTTTGTCTAAGGCTTTGATGGAACCTATTGGGGGATGAACATCTTGTTTATGTGAATATAAATTGCTAGTTTCAATCTCTATTTGTTCAACTTTGTGCTTGTTGTAGTTAATTGACAGGATCCTCAATTAGCTGTGTCTATTTAGTGTGCATAACTTGGAAAAGAGTGCATATTTAGGTTATTGTTGAACAACACCACTCCCAAAGTATAAGAGGAATCTATAATTGCGGGTTTAAAGGCGGGATTAGGGATAACGAAGCCTTGGGTGTAATCTAAAGTGAATTGTGCTAAATAAAGTAAGCTAGTGTATCTCGGGAGAGTGCAATTAGTATATTACTATGATTACTCGGGAGAGATTTACGGTAAGATGAGCGTTCATGATTGATAGAGATGTGTTGGTAAATTTGTATGAGCATAAACAGAAGGGATTCTTTCAATAGGGGAAATCATTGCCTTAGCTTTTTCTCATCATTGTTTACAACCTTA